TTCCTTCCAACAAACTCAGAATTAACACTGCCATAAGAATCTCATCCACCAACAGACTGCAGCTGCATAGTATTCTGAGATAAAGTGTGAAAGGAAGAGGAGCAGCTATACACCACCCCCACTGAATGATGCATTTAAATAAACAAGATAACTAGATTATAATCTCAAAACTCCCAAACACACTAATTCTTTATGTGTCATATAAATATAAAAGAGTGAGCACTGTTGTTCAATTTCAGGCTTCATTCTGGAGGAGTACCTGTTTGAATCTTACTTATGGTTCAACTTCAGTATGACATTCCAAGTTGTCTGATTTAAAAAACAATCTCTGCTGCATCCCAACTGATATGCCTCTTCTTTACTAATAAATTACAATGTATTAGATGAATTCTGCTTTTCTTACATGTATTTTGAAAATCTGTTATAAAAATAACTACAACACAGGTATTTCAGTAAAGCCTTGTACTGTCATTGTATGCTATATTTAAACAATTTCCATCCAGTTTATTATTCAAGGCTGATGTATGTTAAAAACAGTGTCAAATCTTGCAGTTCTTTCTGGCTATGAAAGTTAATGATTTGATGTCCAGACATCAAACTTTCATCTACCTTAATCTTTTCTGAAGAACCAAACCTGCAAAGTTGTTATTTTCTAGAATTAAATAGAAGAGACAGATCAGCCAAATCAGAATGGTGGGAAAAATAAAGTATACTGTGAGAAGAGAATGGGGTTACATCAGTGAAATACACTTTCATATTTACACACATGCATGCTCAGCTGGAAGTGCTAAAAACACGTCACAGTTCACAGGTAGACTTCCAAACTCAAATAAAAAGAAAAGTATTTGTATCAACAAACCAGCTAACTTACTAAATGATGTTCCAAGTAAACAGTCTATTCGCACATAAGCTGAAATCCAGTAACTTACAAAGCATGCTGCTAGGACACTGCATGTGGTTGTCCTAGGCAGGGGAAGAGGAAAGGCTGGGATTTCAGTGGTGGAATGACTCATGGCACAAATGCACAGCAAGGCAGCCCTCAGCAGGGGGTTTTGCCCATGGACAAACTGTTTTCCAAGTGATAACATGCTAGTACCACGGACAGAAAGAAACCACATTCTCAGGACTATAGCAACAATTTAAGAATCAGACACCATTATGTATATTTTCCTCCCTGTAAATTTAAGCAGCTGGGGGAAAGGGTGGTAATCAACCACTAGGTCTGCCCCATATAGTTTGAAGTATCACTGGAAACACAATGAAAAGATCAGACTGGTTAGCAGTCCTCTGATCTTTTTACTACTTCGCATGGCAACAACACAAAAGCAAGTAATGAGGGTCATTTCTGCAGGCTTTGTTGCACTGCAGGTATTTGTACAAAAATAGTAAGACTCGAATAGTAACAGCCTAAAACCAGATGCTGGTATTTTCCTATTTCCCTCATTTTCTCTCCTTCCAATATGAAAGTACCTCAACATGCATTTCAGGTTATAGTTATATTGCAGATTTTGCCAGGCCTGAACCCAGGCTTCAACCAGGGGATTTCATCATCTGCTGTTGTTCTGTCTTAAGTAAAGCAAAGGCAAGGAAGGTAAGGAACAGCTTCTTGCAGCTGTCAGACTCCATGCTGAAAGTCGCAGCCTCCACACTGAGGAGTGTGCCTGCAGCTAAGTCAGACAACCCAGCTTTAACCATAACCAATGCTTGTCCCTACTCCCTTCCCAGTGCTAACTAATAAATATGTTAGCACTCCCTAATTTGCTTCAGAAACAATCAGAAATCAAAAGGAGATTATCTGTATCTCAGCCCAAATTCCCATACGGTTTCTTTCTTCTTTCATCCATATTACATGCAGAAGGAAACCCAGGCTTCACTACAAGGGCTGGATCTCCTTTGCCATGAGGCTACCTAAGTGCTTCAAGCTGCAATCCTGAAGGCATACCCAAATTGCTATCTTTACACTAATGCCCATGTGTTTTTTGCTCAGAGAAAGACCCTAGACAGAACATCCAACTACCTAAGAAAATTTCTGCAACCGAAATAAAAATAAGCTAAAACAATTCCTAAATGAGTAACAGAGAAATTATTAAAGCTCCTGATCCTAGCTAAAAATAAAGCAAATATTTTATTTAGCAGTATATGGGGTTTTGAAGTCTTCAGAGTTTGCCAAACTATTCAATTTCTCATACCCAGGCACAGAGCTAAAAACTCATCAGGGCTGAGATGATCACAGGAAGAACCTGGCACAGGCTGCTCTCTTTCATATGCCCTCATGGTTTTTCTGCCAAAAATAAATATATCTGATCACAAATGCTAAGTACTATACATTTTTCATTTAAAGGCAACGACCTTCTCTGCTCCACTGTGCCCATACAATGTTTTATTGTCATTGTGTAGTACCAGATTAGTTTAACTCGTTAGCAGTATCTGGGAGCTAATAATTCCATTTGACCATTTGGATCATTTACCCTACAGAGCTACTGTTTATTGCATGAAATACTCTTAAGTTTACACATCTATAATTGTGTCTCTAATCACACCAGTAAGGCGATAACCTAGTAAGTACAGAGATGTACTAACCCTAATCTCTAGCGAAAATGCTACAATTAGTGGCACAGGAGCAGAGTGTGCCCATGTACTAAACCATCTCCCAGCAACTACTTGGAACACACATGATTTTTTGGTTTCCATTACTCTGAATATGAACTTCAGTTCTTTCATTGCTAACAGCAACACACTCCTGAAATGCAGCCAGAAAATTAGGGTTTCATGGTGCATAAACCTCAGGCAAGAATGCTGTGAAATATTTTTACTATGCAAATAATTATACCGACTATCAATTTCATCAAGTGACCCTACTGCTGAAGACTATACTACTAATAATAAACAGCAACAGAAGCAAGCATAGAATAAATCTATTTGAAAATCAAATTTTTTGGATGCACATTCCTCACGAGTTATTTTAGAATACCAAAACCTCAAAAATATTCATATAAGCATTCTAATAAACATACTCAGTGAAAGTTCATTAACCTTATTATTATGTTTCAAGTTTGTGTTTCAGAGCAGTTTTACTCTTTGCATACTTCAGAACTGGTAAGACTGTGTGTGCAGAAAGAACAATTGGGTATTTTAACCAACCAGACAAATGGCTTTGTAATAGGAACAAAACTATTTCTTAATTAAACAGAAAAGCATACTGTCAGAAGACATCTTCATGAGCTGTTTTTCCATAAAGAATACATGGTATGCCAGTACTGCAGAAAAACAGTTCTATGATCCTTGAAGTTAACTGTTCAAATTCAACTGATTTTTTACTGGCAAATTCAGTTTCTCAAAGGAACAACAGACTGAGTAAACAACGAATGGTTACAATTTCTCCCGTTATAATACTCTAATAACCCCTATCCACCTGCATGAGTATAAAAGCAAAATACCTGCAATTACATATATTGATATAAATTTTAATATATATTTTAATGCCTGCAATATACCGCCTTTGATTTTAATAGCTCAGAATAAGTTCTTGACTGAAAGACATTTGCCATGGTTGTATGGAAAGACTCAAAATACATGTTTAAAAATTAAGAGTATCTGTATTTTCCTAATTAAACACAATGTTGAGTGTAGAGTTGAGAATTCTATTTCTAATGTAGAATAATTAAGAAATCTTTCTCAACAGAGCAAGAGTAATGTAACAGCTTTTTCTTTCTCACCCACTCCTAGCACACTGCAATCCGATTGATTTTAGTGGGGTTTTTTCAAACTCCAAAGGTCCTCAACTTGTATTTTTAGATTCTATCCTCAATGTGCTTTCCTCCAATGTCCTTAAATAACCAGCCAGTGGTTGAGCTCATAAAGAACCTGATTATTTTACTTGCTCTGATTATTTATTTTAGAGTTCCCTGAAACCTCATGATACTGCCAGGGAAAAATCACACTTGTACCAAGTAACTTCAGAGTACCATATTTTGTATCATCATATCCAGGCTCCTATTTCAATTCCGGTATTTGTCAGAGAAGTACCACACCAACAACCACACATTTTCAAATTTCCAGTTCAACAACAACTGAAAAAACAGTTTGTATCATTGACGTTGTAGCATAAACATATTCTGCTCATTCGTATGTCTTCCATTTTCCTTTCATTTGAACAAAGCAAAAAAAGGAGAAAAATCTATCTTTTAAAATTACACAAACTCAACTGACAGATTAACAATGTAAAACAGTTGGGGTATATAAAAAAAAGACTTTATCAAAATAGAAGGGGTTTATAGCAACAAGTAAATTCTTACACAAGTACTGAGATAAAATCGGCTTCTGTATATAAAACAACTTAAGTCAAATTGAGTTTCACTACTGAGTAAGATAAATTCATTTTCTAAAATCATCCCCAAAGTGTTGATCATTACAGGAACAGGACCAGGTTTAGAGAAAACTGTTCCAATTGAATCCCCAGTACTTGCTTTCTCCACAAGCTGTTTTGGCTCATTTTTTAATGCTATTTTAATTTTCTTAGATATCGCTTTAAAAATCAGTTTGAAAAAGATTTCTTCTTAAACACAAACAATCAGAAACCAGGGTTTTGCTATGAGTGCCTTCCAATCACTTAATTTTCCTATTTCCATAAAACAGCTTTTAAATAAAAAGACAATTCAGGACAAACTTCAATTCCATATTCTGCCATTATCTTGAGACACTTACTTTTCTCATGAAGGCCCAAGAAGAAAAAAGGAAAAAATTTGGACATTTACATAATAAAATAAAAAAATCTTTGCTGAGTTTAAGTAGGGTTTCAAAACTTATTTTTGTTCCACTGGAAAATTGTTACTAAAACCCAAAAGATTAAGTAAGCACACCCAGTTCAGAACAATTACTCATTTCTATTAACACAAAAAGTTGCAAAGAAAAACACTGACTTCAGAGAGCAGCAGTCCTATGACTATTCATGGAAACCACTTTGCAGAAGCCAGATTATTCAATGTCATGTAAAGACATACCTTTTTATCATACACATCTTGCCAGTTTACTCCAGCAAAGAAACTATGACGCATGATTTCTTTTGCATCATCTGGGCCTCCACCAAGTCTGAAGAGAGTGGAGAAGAGACCATATTAAACAAGCATTACTCCAAAGGAAGATTAGTTATAGTAATGGTTGGAAAAGTGACCATTTGTTTTTGACTACCTGGGAACAATTCTCACCCTCTTAATATGTAATTCTCACCTGTTTAAAACGAATTCAGGGGATCTAGAGATAAAATGTGATAGCAGAAGTATCTATGCCATGGTCTATTCCATTTGATTATTCCAACTACAGTGTTCATTACCATCCATGATAAGCTTTTTTAATAATTCATTCATTTTAAAAACATACTTAAGTTTAGTTTTCTTGAAAGACCAACTGATTTCCTGGCACTACTAAAAACCAAAACCAACCCAACAATGCTGACATAAAATTTTGCCAAGGAGGTGCCAGGCACTGAATCAGTAATGACTCACACATCATTTTTATACAGTGTTCACTGCTGTTGCATCTGGGTGCTGTAACAATTAACCAATTACCATAAAATAGTCTCAATCTGAGTCAATTAGTATAAATTAATAAATTGTAGGCCTGCTGAGAAGGTTATTTAAAGGCCATTGTAAATAACCACAATACTCACCGTGGCCCACAGCTTGCCGAAGCCAGACTGCCTGGTAAATCATCTTAGGAACTGAATTTCATCTACTTTGGGTGAACTTGCCCAAGGTGATCTGAGCTCGACAAAGTGGCCACTGCTGCCAAAAGAGGGTCCCACCTCTGCCTATACCTCTCCCTTCTCACTTGCATCCACAGCATCATTCCCACTGATGACTCTGAGCTGAATCAGCTCACTTACTTAGAAGAAAACTAACCCAGCAATGAGAAAACAAGACAGAAGTGTCAGGTTTTTGTTTCATTCGCAAGTTAAATTTGATTAAACAAGTTTAGTGAGCATTCCTGAGCTGCTGGTGGTGGCCAAGAAAGAAACACACATCCGGTAAAGGGAATCTCTGCCCCTTTTAACAGCACGTCGACTCTCAGCTCTCAATTTAACTTCTTCCTGAGACTGGCTATCCTACCGGACTAACAGAAAGAAACTGCAACAGGAAAAAAAGCTAATCTTAACTGAATAAGCAGCCCATGTAAGCAATCTGACCTTCATTAAAAGGCACTGCTAAAGACATAAAGAGAAATTTTTGAAGCAACCTTTTAAGTAAGACAGACTTCTCTCTAAAGCATTTATTGCAAGAAGCAGTAATTCCCACAACTAAGGAAAAAAATGAATTCGTGTTGGTACTACCCTGCTGCCAAATTACAAGTATTCTGGAATACTCAGTCCTGCAGAGACTGAGTGTAAAGTTATTTCCAAGCTGTATTCCTCTTTGTTTATCAATTACTTATTGTAAAATTCGCTGCATCTCCACAAAGTATTCCAGTTAGTCTGCAGTCTCCAGACTTGTCTCATTATCTTCCCATCCAGCTGCTCAGAGAAAAGCTCAGTTTCAGTTAACCTCTGGGCTCCCACCCTATTTAGCATCAGCTAGAATAAGAACTTGAATGTGGATAAGCTTGTAAATGTAAGTCTCTAATAAACATTACTGTCTGCAAAGATTAATTACAAATGACTATCTTTTAAATTCTAAAGGTTGATATATTTGATGGGTCAGATCGTTTAGAGGTTAAAAATGCATTAGGAGTTGCTACAGGAGCAAATTTTTACCTTACTCTCCATGTATTGGGCTGGTTGGTCACAGTTTGCTTTTAGTGCACATGGTAAATTCAGTTAAACTGTCATTGCTGGGCAGCAGCAGGAAGGCTGACCACTTGCATTGTCCTTCCTGCCTGCTGCACTTGGCTGCATTCAGGCAGATCCCTTGGGAGTGACACAGCAACATGCCCGCTACTAAAAACTTGTTGAGAACAAACTGAGGATACAAGAGGACTAAAGAAGAGACAGACAGACAGAAGAATACCTGCAGCCTTAAAACATGCCAAGAGACTTGAAAACACAACAGAAGGACTGGGGAATAAAGGGGACCTACACACAAATCCTACCAATTTACAAAGACAGAGATTTAGTTCAGAACCACAAGGGACTAGATGCTGCTGGTCCAGTGCAGGAGCCACTGGAAAATGGTTCTCCTAGGCAACAATCCCAGAGGGGAAAGCCCAACACAAAAGGGCACAGGCAGGAGCTGTGTGATACTTGCTTTCAAACCACTATATTTAAATTCCACTCAGATGTGGTTTTTTAATGTTACTAGTTTACGTGGTCTAATATACGATTTATGTGCCCTGATGAAATTTAAGTTTATACATCTCTTGTAGCATGATCACTTAAAAAAAAAGCACTGCAGTCCCCATGAGATGCTACAGAGAACTCAGGGTTAAATCACACTGCAAAATGTTTGAGAGCTCTCCCTTTGTTCCAGTACATAATCTAAACCTGAGAAGATCCCTGTGAATGACTAAGAAAGTGTTCTTTTCCACGTGATTTTTCCCCTTTTGCTCATTAAACTCACTTAGTATATTTTTGCTGTACTGAAAAAGTGGAAAGCTGAGACTGTATGGATGCATATGGCCTCTTCCTGTGACTGAGAGGTCCCTCAGTCAGGAGGGCCAGGATTCATGGGCCTACTTTTACATTACCCAGTATAACTAGAGTATTTATGGTGCCAGTATACCCAAATAATTTCACTTACCGCTTATTTGGATCCTTTATCAGTAGGCCTGATAGTAATGATTTTGCATCTGCAGACAGAGTTCGAGGAAATTTTATGTCCTCCATTAGTATCAGTTCAAATAGTTTCTCATGATCTTGGTTGTAGAACGGTAGTCTTCCACACATCATCTCATACATGACAACTCCTAATCCCCACCAGTCCACTGCACGACCATAGTCATTATCTTCCAACACCTAAGACAGAAACCGAAACCAGCTGTAAGACATGCACTATTTCAGACATGATCATTTCTGTCTATTTGATACATCTCATTATGAATGTGTTTCCAAGAGTTTATTTTCACAGTGTGCTACACGGACTCCCAGAACCAGGCTCAATACATGCAATTGCAGTACTGACACACCTGAGCTCTATGAAATTCCAGGCATATTACTAAAAGCAAAATAAAAAATTTAGGATGACCTGCTCAAAATGATCATGACTGCATTTTCCCCTTTCTTATGTCCTCTATCATCCCCTTTATAGTATGCACAACTTTAGGAAGAGACACTATCTATGTGTACTACTGCCTCAGTCAGAATTCTTCTGGGAGAAGAAGTGAATCATCTCCTTGTCAGTCGCTTCTTTTCTCTTTACCCCACCTGTAAGAAAATAAAGCCTCAAATTTAGAAATGCTTTAATCTTACTAAGACAAGCTTAGCTTCTTTATGATCTTTGTTTATATTAAAAGTCCTCAATGTGTTTCTCCTGACAGTTTCATTATATTCCATGAAATAGACCAAACAGCTGGCCTGCTTTAATGCAAAGAAATATGACAATGTTTCCTACAATATTATGTTTATACGATAGTATATGATTACAGAAATGTGGGAATGTTTATATCATTTGTTAACATAGTGCCTCCAATGCTGTGTATCTAAAAACAACATACTCCACAGACCTCCTTCCAGCAACCCCAGAGAATTGGAAGAAGGAATCTAGAGAGTGTGTCTTAACCTTAATACACCTCCATATTAAATTGTAGAAATGGAGACAACAGCAGCATACACCCATAATGAAACCATAAGCAATAAGGAAACTGGAGGCTACTGGATATATACATATATAATACCAATTTCTTGAATTTCTAGCAGATCATACCTTTTAATTTTGAAAAGAACCAAGTTAGAAGTTCATAAATGGTAACACAGAAGGCAAGACAATTGTACGTGCTAAATAGCCAGTATCTGCTGCAGAAATATCTACTAAAGAGGCAAAAATCTTAAACAAGAAATCAGACTTAAATAATAAACAGTAAGAAAGAGAAAAGAAACACGACTAATAGGGTTGGACTATCCTTATAAAGAATTAAACAATTCTGCATAAAGAATTATTTCTACATCACTAAAAGACAGCTTCTGAAAGGCAGCACATAACTGATTTAAAAATAAATCTAAGAAAGCAACAACAATCTAATCCTTAGAAAACAAAATCCTTTTTGCAACATACAGACACACGCCATCACCACCACAAAGAGCTCACCAGATACAAACTGTAAGCAGACACATACAAACAGTCATTTAGATATATAGTATTGAAAATCTGGCAATGTGTAGCAAAGTCTTCAGGATTTAATGAACAAGGCCACCTCTAACAGATCAGAAACCTTTTGCTACGAGCAAACCTTTTGCTACAATCTTGTGATTGTCTAAAAAGTGTAAGATGACCGCCAGTAATTTCCTTTGAAGCAAGGACAGACAAAGCCTTTGCCCATCTGGGGACATTAAGAGGCTGTGACCACACCATAGGACACACGCACTATTCTCACCAGTCCTAATGAGGGTATCGAGCCCATTTCTCTGCCTTCCCATTTTCTCCCCCAGTAAATCCAAGCCTCCTCTGAAGTATCTGGTACATGCTACTAGCAGAAACAAAATGCTATGTGGTCCAGTATGGCAATTTTGACAATCCCACAACAATTAATGCATTCATGTTCTTAGTCTTCCCTGTCCTTAAGGATCAGTAGTAGGAATACGATGAAAAGAAGTATTAAAAATCCCTCTTGTGTATATAAGTCTAAAAAATCATAAATATTAACATATTAACACATACTATTTACAACTGTGCCAAAACAGACTCGTTACATCATTCATATTTTCAAATAGAGGGTGAAATTTTGGAAAGTGTAAAATACAACAAATTATCTGAATAAGTACATATGACAAAACTAAATGCATTTTAAAATTAATTAAATGTTTTATGAGCTTGAACATATTGCAAGCTATTTGCTGAAAAACTGTATATGGAATCTGTGACACTTGTCTTTAAATCACCGTTTCTTCTGCCACAGAATAAAAGCATTCTATATTTTTCTCCTACACCTATTAGCACTGTTACTATTTCTCCTACCTATACACTTAGCTACTCTTTGCAGCTAGTAAAATAGATAAAATTGAAGGCAGTGGTAGATTCTTTTAACAAGTAAGTTGAGGTGTGGTTTCCATGTGCGATTTACAATGGGAAGATAAAACGTAACATTTTCTGAGCAAGGCAAATCACATGGCTAGTAGCTAAAGCAAACTGTATTTGCGGCTTTACCTAATTTATGCAGGACTTTACCTAATAATAATAAAAAGTATGAGCAACCTTTTGCTGCATTCCCATAACAGCAACAAAACAGTGGTACAAAGAAAGAGCCAAATGTGATTTTTAACCTCTTTTTACATAAAATCATAAAAAAGCATAAAAGCTGGATTAACTGCCTCCCGAACCCACATAGCACCAGCCGGGTTCTCATCCCCAGCTGGCAAAACTGGCAACTCTTTATTTTTGTTTAAATACCTGGTTTACAGCCAGCCAGACAAGCAAGAGCATCAAAAGGGTTTCATTTAGGCAAAAGGAAAACAGTCTGAAAATAGTGTAAATAAAGCAAAAGGCATCTCAACTTATTTTAATATAAATGTAATAAAATTGTACGTAATGCATTCACAATAAATACACACTGGTATTTTCTTTAAGTAATTTCTACATCTCATGGTGTTAAGAAACTACAGGATTTGTAGACCGTGACAAATCAATGGAACTGCTGGAGTCCAGCAGCTCCTATAACCAAATCCATACAGTTAGGGCAGGCATGAGAACATGACAATACACACTGCCCTAGCATTACAGAATCCTTTCCAAACAGATCTTGGATTTGAGGGATTTGTTTTTAATTACAAAGAACATAGGTCAAGAAAGCTCAAACTCAGTGCTAAAATGAACATGACACACAGTTTCAGGCTTTGTACCTATGAATAATTCAGGGTTTTGCTTACCATGAAGTGGATGCTTGCTTTTAGAAATACCCTTTTTGTCTGTGAGGACCAAAAGAAAACTGGATGTCCCTCCAGCATTTGTGCAGTATTCTTCTATATAAGGGGTAGCAACTTAAGCACCTGGCCAGGCACAGACATCAGTGGAAAGTCTCATGTCCTGTACTTTGTATGCTGCCCTTAAAACCTGCCTCCATCATTTCCAGCCAATTCTTGTCCCCCCCCGTAAGATTCCACAAATCTGTGTTTAAGCAAATACACTGTCCTAACAACTCAGTCCCTTCAAAATCACAGCAGGAAAGGCAGCAAGCCCACCAAAACCATCATAAAAGGCAGAAGTACAACCCCTCTGGAATCTACAGAAAGAGCAGCTACACCAAGTACATACTCCAGCCAGGTGAGTTTTCATGAAGTAAAGATGAAGTTACCTGCTTTCTTTCACAGAATTTGTTTAGTCACGTCATTCAGATATATGACTTCTTTTTCTTCATCTGCTTCACACACCTGGGGTGCCAAAATCCCAAGGCACCTCGTCAAGATCTAGGGGAGGTTTTAGGACCTGAGAGCTCCAGCACAATGTGACATCAGCGTGTGGATAACATCACTCATCCCTGTTTTACATCTCACATCATCACTGTACCCAAGTGACTTTCCAATGTTGAGTAAAGCAGGAGGTGCGCTGATTGCAGTTCAGTCTGGATGATACCATAGTATATGGGCAATAAAATTCAAAAGATTACCATAATTTTTATTACTTGAGGGAATCTTACTCCATTTGGGTTTAGGGCTCTAGTGCAAGAACTGGTTCTTTCAGAGGCAGTGTCAGCCTAACTCACATTCTTGTTTCCTTTCCCTTAAGATATCTTCCCTTACCTTAACAAAACTATGCAACAGGCATCTGCTTCCAGGCATATGCAGGTATTTCAGTGTTTTTGTGGATGTCTTAGAGGTGTTAGACATTAGTTTCAGCTGCGGGAAAACTATTTATTTACCTTAAAACTTTCATCTATATCTTGGTCAAAAGGCAACTCAACTTTATGCAGTTTACTGAGACAGCACAAATAGCCAGCTGTAACAAGGGATAACAAAGTATTCCCTAATGACTCCACTGCCTGCACACTTTGAGGTTTCTGAGAAGTATCACTGGCAATGACCATGTATATGATGGGATAGTGCTTCGCAGAGCAAAGACCCTCAGGCCCTACATATTCAGTTCACAGCCTGAACTTTGCCTTTCATACAACTAGATAAAACACACACACTGCAGAGCTGCTAAGATCACAGCAATTCAGCTGAATTTACCCCTCACATGTAACAATTCATTTTGCTAACAAGTAACTATAGATCAGAAAAATACCCTCGTATTTGCATTTATTGACAAAAAAAAAGCTATCTTCTAATGCTACTCCCCACTGCTGAAAATTGCAATGTCTTGGACTTAAAAATATTAACAAAAATCATCAGTACCACTGGAAATCTGCCCCTTCCTAGAAAACAAAAATCCATTCAACAGACTTTCTCCACTACTTCACCAGTGGTTGTAGATTTTAATCTTCAGGTTTACCAGTCAGTACATGTCCGGGTTTCCTTTGCTTTACATATGTCACTGCTCTAAGAGCCTAACATACAGTCCACAGAATTTGATGTAGATTTAATTTTTATGATGAAAACCAATGAAAAGATAACTTTCATCTCTTTATTTGGTACCTAGAGCTGAAGTTGTTTTGAGAGGCAGCAGCCTGAGACATACCTGCAAACTCTTACTTACAAGGGCTTGAGGCACTTACGAAGCATGCAAATAAATCAGCCAGCAAAAGAGAAGTTGATATAAGCACACAGAATCAGGTTGGAAGGGATCTCAAGGATCATCTGGGCCAACCTTTCTTGGCAAAGCATGACCTAGACTAGATGGCCCAGCACCCTGTCCATGCAAGCTTTTT